CAGGGATTTAGCTCAGTGGTTTCAACGCCTGCTACGCAAGCACAAGGACCCGAGTTCGATCCCTGGTACCAAAAAAAAAAAAAAAAAAAAAAAAGACAAGTGTCTGCTGGCTCCCCTGGGCTGAAGAGAACCTTCTCTCGCTTCACTGAGGCGGACGGCCTGTTCAGCAGACACAGGCTTCTGTCCACCGCAGCTCCACAAATAGCAGAACATTGCTCAAAACGACAAGAAGAACAAAGAAAAAAATCTCCTTTGGAAGAATGGTCTAAAATTCATCTGATACATCTTCATATTTAGAAAAATGACTAGAATACATTTCAAACTTCCAAGTATTAGTGAGTGGGTCCTGCCTGGGGAGGGCTCTCACCTCCTAACCCGTGGCAGCCCCATTGTTTTAACAAAAGGGGCAAGGATGGCCACAGGTCCCACTCTTTTCATCTCTTGGCCTTAAGAATGTCCTCATCCTGTGAGGAGCTGACAGGAGCTGCTGCTGGCAGAGCAACTGCCACATTTCCGTTTCACAGCCACTGCGGCTCATCTGTGGGAACCCTAGGAGCAGGTATCTCTGACTTTTGAAATTGTGTTGTGTGCTCTTTGTTCTTGTCCTTTTGAAAGAAAAAAGGAAGAAGACAGAGATGCTTAAAAACCCTTATTCCCCCAAAACCCTTTACAACAATTCCAGGGTCTTCCTCCAGTGACCAGAGGGAAGAAGGCAGGGGATCGGGTACCAGCAGTGTGTCCTGAGGAAGTGAGAGTCCAGCTCCTGGAGAAAGGTGCACGACGGGAGGAGAACCGCAAAGTCCAGCAAGCCCACTGCCAGCACAAACAATGGGAGTTTGAAGAAACTCGACTGTGGAAGCCGAGGCTGGCCCGGCAGAACTCCGCACCAGCCGACTCTGGAGTGGAAGGGCTGCTGCTGTCCTCAACTGTCCAAGGCACCAACGCCCACTCAGAGGCCGGGGAAGAACTGCTTCCTCATCATGAAGGAGGCGGAGCTCCCCTAGCTCCTTATTAAACTCCTTTTTGGTTTGTTTGTTTTTGATGACCAAGAAGAAAACTGAGTGTTCTTGGGCAAGGGCCAACATCCTGATATCACAGCAACAGTGGGGTCTTGTTTCCAGTCTTCTGAGGTTTGTTGCTCACTGAGAAGGCAAAGGGTGTAAAGTCAAGGGTGTGGAGCTTGAGATTAGGAGGCAGGGATGGAACTCAAGTTAACTTCAACCTAGGGAACAAAGTTAAGACATTTTCTTCTACTTCATCCTCATTTTCCAAGGACGAGTTACAAAACCATAAAATTGATAAAAAGCACGACTGGGGGCACCCAGGCCTCTAACCCCATCCGCTGCCTCCTTCCCTTTGCCCACTGCCCTCTTCCCCACCCCCACTCCGTCTGGACTCCTTTACACCTCTGAAAGCCTCCCCTCCCGCACACCAGACACTCACATGGGGGAACTCCTCCTCTGTAATTTCAAGCTTTTCCAAAGCTGAACTAAGAGGAAGAAACAAGAAACAGAGAAAAGAATTAGAAGATTAAAAAAGGATTTTCCTGTGAGGTCAAATCTGACACTGTTTCTTCACATTTCCCTTCAGAATCAATGTAGAATTCAGAAAAAAGAAGGTATTAGATTTAATAAAAAGCACATTATTGGGCCGGGGATTTAGCTCAGTGGTTTCACCGCCTGCTGCGCAAGCGCAAAGGACCGAAGTTCGATCTCTGGTACCAAAAAAGAAAACAAAAAAATCCCATTATTTTAATTAAGTAGTATTTTTTCTTTTTCAGCACCAAGGACGAAATCCAAGGCCTTCTGTGTTCTGAGCAAGCAAGCATTCTACCACCGAGCGATGCCCCTCGCCCCTTTTTGTTTATTCTGAAATAGGGTCTCATTAATTTGCCCACGCTGGCCTCAAACTTGCAATCCTCCTGTCTCAAACTCCCAAGTAGCTGGGATTACAGCTGTGCACCACTACAACTAGCCCTTTAAGAATTTTTATATGTCTCTTATTTTTATTATTACTATTTTTTGAGACAAAATCTCACTATGTAGTCCAGGTTGGCCTAGAACTTGCTATGTAGCCCAGGCGGGGTGGAACCTTATGACCCTCCTGCCTCAGCCTTCCAAAACATCAAAAACCACACCTTGCTTTAAAAGTGCAGAGTATCAACCTTTTTTTTTCTGGTGGTACTATGCTTAACTACATGCTCTACCACTAAGCTATTACCTGCCAGCCCCATGACCTGCTTCCTTGAACCTTATAGTAAAAGGAGAAGGAAAGCAAATAAAGAGAAGAAATACTAAACAAAAAGCCAGGACTTGAGAGAAATTTTTTAAAATTTTGAACTCCAGAGAGCAAACAATGCTAAAATTAAATTTTTTTTAAAGTACTGAGGATTAATCACCAGTGGCACCTGTAATCCCAGCACTCAGGAGGCTGAGGTAGGAGGACTGACATGAGTTCAAGGGCAGCCTGACCTATATAGCAGGACTCTGTCTGAAAAAAAAAAAAACCGTACTGGGGACTAAACCCAGGGCCTTTGCACTGATAAACTTCCTCAGCTGTTTTTTTCTTCTCTTTTTGAGACAGGGTCTCACTAAGATGTCCAAGTTGGGCTTAAAATTGTGATCCTCCTGCATCAGCTTCCCCGACTGCTGGGATTACAGGTGGTCACCACCATACTCGACCTTAACACTGAAAAATCTTGAGCAAGGATTACATCCCAGGGCACTGTCAAGAAAATAGGATGAAGATGAAGACAAGGGTATGACAGTAAGACACTTCATTAAGATCTCAGAAAAAGAGAGAAGCATGGTGGCACATGCCTGTGATGCCAGCACTCTGGGATGCTGAAGCATCTTTGAGTTTTAGTCCAGTCTGGACAGTTTAGTGAGTACCCTATCTCAAGACCGAAAAAAGGCAAGGGACATAGCTCAGCATGAAAGCTGTTAGCTTGTGTCTAAATGTCTCTACAAACCGTGCGTTAAATAAACCTTTCCCCTCTTAACTTTGGGTGTCAAGTATTTTGTCTCAGCAATGAGCAAGTAATTAAGACAAAGGCCCTGGATTCAATTCCCAGTACTAACAAAATAAAGACAAATACATTTTTTTTTTGGTACCAGGGATTGTGAGGCAGGCACAGCGCCACTGAGCTAAATCCCCAGGCCAAGATGAATATATTTAAAAAAAACAAAATAAAAGGGGGGCCCGGGGATTTAGCTCAGTGGTTTCACCGCCTGCTGGACAAGCGCAAGGACCCGATTTCGATCCCTGGTACCAAAACAAAAAAACAAAAACACAAAAGGGGCTGAGAAAGTAGCTCATTCTTAGAGCACCTGCCTAGCACGTGTGAAGCACTGAGTTCAATCCCCAACCAGCACTGCCAAAGCAGAAAAATAATCATGTGCATGTCTCACAGAGCCTCTCAGCTGAAAACACAGGGTATGTAAACTGTAAACTGTCGGGCTTATCAAGAAGCTATTTATGGGTATGCATCTGTCTATGGAGTGAATCTCAGTGATAATCACAGGCAGGAAGTAAAACCTATAAGGAAATTCTATCAGAAACACTGCCAGTTAGGACCAAAAGGGACAAAAACTGCAAAATGAAGAAACCACCATATCTCTCTCCCCCAACTAAACTACTGGAAAGAAGCAGGCTGAGTAAGCGGCTTACATGCAAACACATTCTAGCTTTAACAAAAAAGGAAAATTCAGGACAAAATCCAGAGTCCAAAGGGTGAAGCTAGGAGCCATAAAACATTGTTCTCACACTTTAAAACCTAATCAAAGAGGGGCCGGGGATTTAGCTCAGTGGTTTCACCACCTGCTGTGCAAGCTCAAGGATGCGAGTTCAATCTCGGAACCAAAAAAAAAGTCTCAAGTCTCAGCATGGTGGCACACACGTGTAATTCCAGCACTCCAGAGGCTGAGGCAGGAGAATCGCTGCCTCAATTCCTGCAGAAGAAGTGAGAGTTCAAGATCAGCCTGGGCTACATAGTGAGTTCAAGGCCAGCCTGAACTACATATTGAGACCCTGTCTACAAAAAAAAAAAAAAAAGGCTGGGGATGTAATACAGTGGCAGAACACTTGCCTGGGATGTGTGAGCCCTTGAGTCTGATCCTTAGTACTACAAAAAAAAATTATGGAGGGAGACTATGATCACATGGTGAAAGGGGTCAAGGAACCAACCTCGTATTTAGTACTTGCAAAGTCTCTCCAACTACATGTGAGAAACCAGGGCCAGAAACAGGTGAGTCCTCGCTGACTTCCTCCACGGGTGGAGTCTGAGGTAATACATCAGGACGACCAAGGTGGACATCTGGAAAAGAGAAAAGGGGAGAAAATCAATAAATGAAACAGAAGAGATGAGCAATGAGAATGAGGGGAAAAACAAGTAGCGACTTGGCTTTTCCTAGACAGAAATGGGGGGTGGAGGTCCTGACCAGAGAAGGACTCAGAAGGGAGGGGAGAAAAACACAATCACAAAGGCACCCCACCCTGGCGCTGACCTGGCTCCACTTCCGCCTCTGTTGTCACTTGTGCTCTGTGCTCCCCAGAGACCGACGGCTGGTAAGTAATGCAGGCGTTGCCGCTGGGGCCTGCTCGCCGAGAGAAAGATGAGCCAGACCGAAACTTTTTGGAAGGAGAGGGCTTCACTTCAAAAGGGAAAGAGAGCCTACTTAGCACCAACCTCTGAAACCGTCACCAAGACACAGATACAAACTGCCAGTTATCACCAACGCACACCCAAAGTTATTCTGAAGCAAAGCAGGAGGAAGGGCTGTCACAAAGATGGGCTCTAGGAAGTGCTATTTAGAAGGAAGGTCTCTCTTCCCTTTGGAAAGAAACAGAAAGCCTCCAGCAAAGGCGACATGTGCATATGCCCCTTCCCCAGCCCCCAGTGCAATCCTGATGGCTCTGCCTTTGCCTGAAGAGATGTCCTCTCTTCACTAATTCCCTTGTTCTTTGGTAGTAGCCCCAGGAAAACATAACAAAGATGACCCTTTCACTCTACATCTTCTAAGCACTTATGTACACAGCAATGTAATTCACATTATTATGCATCAAAACAGAAAAGGGCTGGTGTGGTGGCACATACCATTAGTCCCAGCACTCAGGAGGCTGAGGTAAGAAAGAGGATTACCACAAGTTCTAGGCCAGCCAGGACTATATAGCGAGACCCTGTCTCAAAATAAATCAACAAAAACAAAAACAAAAATAAAAAAGGATTTTTCCATGCCCCTTCAGACATGGCATGGCTAGGTCCCTTTTACCTCACTATGGAACTAATGTCTTTGATGAGGAGAGGGAAGAAGAAACTACAATTTGCCAGTAGCAATAGCATGCAGGATTTGGAAAAAAAATACTGGCACCTCCAAACCAAGGAACAGATTAAGAAAACTTGATAAACAAATCAGTAATGCTTTAACCATTTAACTAGACAGAACTCCTTGGCACCTGAGATATGCACTGAAAGAGAAAGATATCAGCAATAGCCTCCTCTATTTCTGAACACGTTTCGCTCTATCTGAGCATGTGGCATAGATTCTACATCCACAACTACACATTCTTGTTTTGCAATCCCACCAATTCCCCAGAAATGACCCTCACCTCAGTGACACATGTAGGGAGAGCCGGGGGGAAAGCAGCAACTTGGAAACGACTGGGACAGACAGAGTGAGTGACATAAGGACGAGAAGTAGCTCTCACGGGGTGCAGGCAGAGCGGAAGAGGCCTCTGGCCTTTGTAGCTCCCTGACAGAAGTGTCCTGCCCCCCATGTGCTGGGGTAAGGGAGCCACTGGGGGGTCATCTGGTAGAAGCCACTTACGGGGGATCTTCTTGAACACCGTGTTGCACATGAAGCGCTGGAATCGTTCAGCATAGAAGCCTGGACGGTGCACTGATACAGTATCCTGCAGAGCAGAAGAGAGGGCTACACAGTTAGAGACCGAGTGTGCCAGCAAGAGGATCTGTAGATCAAGGGCCATTTTCCCCTACACAGAGACCTCAGAGAAGGATAAAAGCCAGAAATGAAATTTAAAATGCATGGAAGAAATCAAGGGGGGCAAATGAGAAGTGAGAAGCAGAAGCAGGAGGAGGCTTTCCCTGACTGCTACTCACCCCATCATGTACCAGTGCTTTCCAAGAGTGCTCCAACTTTTTTACAAACCTGCCAAGAAAAAATTTGTATCACACACATTGGTATTAAATGAGAGCGCTTAATACTTTGGGGGTTTTTGGTTTGTTTTAGAGGTTTAAAGGTGCAACGACAATTTTTTTTAAAAAACCTTGAAAAGACAAAAGCTAGAAAAGCAGCCAAGTGTGGTGGTGCACACCTATAGTCCCTGTAACAGGAGGCTGAAGCAAGAGGATCATGGCAAGTTCGAGGCCGCCCTGTACCACACAGTGAGTTCAAAGCCAGCATGGACTACTTCAACCCCACCCATCCAAAAAAATGAAAAATAAAAGCTAGAAAAACACATATTATGGTACACTGGCTTTCCACATGGCAGTGCTAGTTCAGCATGTAGACCAATGCTGTTTCTAGGTAAGTTAATTAATCCCCATGAGAAAAGAGCAGTTTATATGTCCCTAGCAAGTGAGGGACAAGAATATTAACTGCAGAGGCTAGGCACAAGGGCCCACACCTGCAATCCCAACTACCTGGGAGACTGAGGTAGGAAGACAGCAAGTCTGAGGCAAACCTGGGCAGCTTAGTGAAACCTTGTCTCAAAAAGGAATAAGGGCTAGGGATTTAGCTCAGTGGTTCCACTGCCTGCCTCAAAAGCACAAGGTCCTGAGTTTGATCCCCAGTACCAAAAAAAAAAAAAAAAAAAAAAAAAAAACGGAAAAAGGGGGGCCTGGGATGTAGCTCAGTGGCACTGCTCCTGCCTGCTAAGTATAAGGTCCTGAGTTCGACCTGTGGTACCGGAAAACAAACAAAAAACAAGTTGAGCTGAAGAAACAGATGTGCAAGAGCCCGAGAGCCTGGATAACCTGCCAGGAGTGGTAGCACATGCCTGTGATCCCAGCACTGGGGAGGCTGAAGGAGGAGGATAACCACAGGCTTGAGGACAGCCTGGATTACACAGTAAGACCCTGTCTCAAAAAATCCAAAAATAAATTAAAAATTAATTATTTAAAAAAATTGGATAATACTCTGAATCAGTAAATCAAGTATCGTCTAGTGCTCATTAGTACCAGAAGGTTACAGAAGCAAAGTTGGGATCTAATGAGCCCTGCTTCTCCCTCAGCAGCACTCCGCTGCCGCTTACTCTCAGGGGCCAGCAGTTTTTACAGAAATCCCTCCCCTGTGGAAAGGGGTATGTGCTTCCAACTTCCTCCCAATATGGAGATGACTCATCTCACAGGGTTTGCACGAAGAGCCAGGCAGATGGTGTGTTCCACCTGGCACTTCCGAGCACTGACTCAGCCTTCCATAGAAGGTACATATCATGAGTGGGGAGGTGGCAAGGGAGGGAAGCCAAGAAAGAAGTCAACCATCTGAAAAAAAATCACTGAGTTAAGTGTCTGCAACTCACTGTTCTTGTCCAAGGAAGAACTTAACAACAAACCCATCTAACAAAGCAGTGTGAGTGGCTTCCGCACCCTTCCTGTCTAACCTGGGGTCCACATGCTCCTCACCTGTAAGACTGCAGAATATCAATGATGCCAATATAAAGCAGAAGCCTTTCCCCTTTATTATTGCGGGCAGGGATGCCACCCATGCTGGGGAAGACAAAAAGGGAAGAATTAGAAATCTGTTAGAAACTTCTCCTAATCTTGAGTCAAATCAGGATGGAACTGAGATAGATCTAAATATAACTGACCAACCCTCCATAAACTGCAAGAGTGTGAGACTCCTTCCTCCAACCGTAAGAATCTCTCTAATCTCCTTGCCTACCATTCCTACCCCAGCGCTACCAAAAAGACTCTGAAATCACTACAACCCAGCAAGATGGGGACTGCTCCCGAAAAGTCTTCAGAACTTCTGTATCTTATTGCCCACTAAAGACACTCTGCCTGAGAGTCACATTATGAGATACCTAAGGGCTGAGGATTTAGCTTGGTGGTTTCATCGCCTGCTTCGCAAGCACAAGGACCCGAGTTCGATCCCCGGTACCAAAAAAAAAAAAGTTCCAAGATGAGATATCTAAAAATGAAATCATCCAACAGACACAGGGCATTTCACAAACTGAACTTACACAACTCAATGATGGTAAGAAAGATGCCTTCCACAAAGAAGTCTATAATGAACTGTGATAAGCTGTAATTTACAGACACATGGCTAAGATTTTGAGTGTAACATTTTAAGTCTTTTCATCCTGGATAGCTCTCCTTCCCAAATACATTAAACCCCCAAATAAAAGCCATTTTCCTTTCCTTTTATATTCCTAAGAAAGCTCATTTGATGGTTCGATAAGCATTTATGTTGCCAGCTTAACTGCTGCTCAAAGCTACTCCTTTCCAGAAGTCAGGCACTTTCCTCGAGAAGTGCTGTGCATTCATGCTCTCCCCGAGCCCCGGCCACTCACTGGTCGTCGGTCTCCATGGTGCCACCCCGGCGAGCCTCGCCCTGGATGGACTCCATGGCTGTGGAATACAGAGCCTTCTGGGACGTCGGTCTCCGCGTGTCAACTGCGTACTGCGTTTCAGTGTTCAAGGGCTCTCGCTGTGCATGATCTATGTTGTGGATGGACATCAAGAGACTATAGTCCATTATTTTGAAGCTCTGAAGCACCTAACGGAAAGAAAAGACATGACCTGAGCCCTTGGAATTATCAGGATTTTTTCTCAAGATCTCATGCTTTAATTATTCTTGGAGAGGGGCCGGGGATTTAGCTCCATGGTTTTGCTGCACAAGGACCCGAGTTCGATCCCTGGTACCAAAAAAAACACAACTTATTCTTGGAGAATTTCCAAGGCTAACCATAGAATTATCCTTTGATCTTCTACTCCTTGAAAAAGAGTTTATTAGCTCCCTCTCATCAGTCTATTTATTTCTGTATCTACACCCACTTGCCTTCCTCTAATTTGTGTAATACAAATTATTTTTTCAAGTCCCACTGCCTAGTCCAGACCTTCTCTGCTCTTCTTTGTATCTCTTCACAAAAAGTTCTTTTTACTTGATGCTCAGTATGTGAACAAGGAACACATACTGGTGCTACAAAGAATCCACAATGCAGGTCTGATAAAAGTATACCTTGTGACAGAACTTTTAGTGTGTATTTTTTTTTTTTTTTGATACCAGGTATCAAACTCAGGTCCTTGTGCTTGCAAGGCAGGTGGCAGAACCACTGAGCTAAATCCCCGGCCCTTGTGACAGAACTTTTATGGTCAGTATCAGTTCATTTCAACATTAACTAAACCCCTGCCATGAGTAGCACTGTGCCTGCTATAGGGACATAAAAATATCTCGGAAAGTTTGCATGTCGGGAGTGCACTTCAGAGAGAGCTAGTTTGTGCTTAGTTTGTTTGAAGTACTGTGTTTGAACCCCAGTACCAAGGATGGTATTTAGAACAGGCGGGAGGAGGAAGAGGAGGAAGGGAGGGATGGAGGGAAGAAGAAGGAAGAAAGGGCCAGGCATGCCAGTACTTGGGAGGCTGAAGCAGGAAGACTGCCACAAATTCAAGGCCAGCTTGGTCTACATCATGAGTTCAGGGCCAGCCTGAATTATAGAGCAAGAACCTCTCTCAAAAAACAAAAAACAAAAAAAATAAGGACCAGGGATGTAGCTCAGGAGCACACACCTGTCTGGCAATCTCAGGATCCTAAGTTTGATCCTCGGTACCAAAAAAAGGGGAAGGAAGGAAGGAAAAAAGGACATTCCTACCCTTAAAGAACTGTAAAATTAGGAAAGTATTAAAATGTAAAATAGATATAATACCTTCTAATGCGCAAAAATGGAAGTGTTTACATAATAAAAGAATAAAGAGACAGTCAAGAAGTTATATCTAATTATGACGGTGAAGGATAAACTGGAGCTAAAATAAGAGAAACAGCATGTTAAGTACAGAAAAGTATAACTGGTATTGCTATAAGATAAAATCCAAAGGGCAGGAGGGGCAATGTAGGAAGGCTGGTAGGGGCAAAACAATAATGAGCATGATGCAGTATCATGTCCAAAAGCCTAGACTGCATCCTATTGCCAGGTGTGGTGGCACACCCCTGTCATTCAGCACTCAGGAGGTTGAGGCAGGAGGACTGCTGCAAGTTTGAGGACAGACTTGGCTACGCTGAGTTTAAGGCCAGCCTGAACTACATACCAAGACCCTGTCTCAAAAAACCAAAACCAGGGGGTGGGGATTTAGCTCAGTGGTTCCAGCGCCTGCCTCACAAGCATAAGGTCCCAAATTAGATCCCCAGTACCAAAAAAACCAAAACCAGAGGGGAAAGGAGGGGAAATTGTTTTCTATGATTTGGAAAAGCCTGGTCCCATTGGCTGAGTAAGTCTCTAACCCTTGCATCTAAAGGAGACAAACTCAAACCGGCATTATCCTGGATGCAGATGCAGAGTGCAGGGCAAGGACAGATAACACTAAGGCCTGAGCAGAGGAAAATGACCTCACAAAAGCAGTTTGAAAAAAGACAACCAGATGTAGAAAAATTAGTAGGGAAAGATATGACCAAAACCAAAAGATGATTATCTTAAGAAAATGGGCCGGGGATTTAGCTCAGTGGTCGCACCGCTGGCTGCACAAGCCCAAGGACCCGAGTTCGATCCCCAGTACCAAAAAAAAAGAAAATGGAGAGCAGTTTGTTGCCAAATGGTACAAAAAATTTGAGGAAGAATGAAGAGGTATTCTCTATTTAGCATTGAGGCGGTCGATGGGGAGAGTAGTTCTGTACAGTGGTGAGAAGACACAAAGGGTTCAGACTAAGAGACAGAAAAAGAAAAAAATGCAAGCAATGGGGGAAAAAATTGTCCTAAACTTAAGATAAATGAGATAAGCTTGCTGGTATACTGACACAAACAGGACTGGCTTCAAATAAGCCACGAAGTTGGGGAAAGGACATTAAGAATTCTAAGTGCAAATACCTTTAGTAACTGGTAAGAGAGGCAGCATAAACGGATGGAACAGGATGGAAAGTTTAGGTCATGTTTTTCAGAAACAAAGCTAGGGCGACAGGAGTTAGAAAGTGGTCTGAACAGAGTGTTGAACATCTGAAATTCTTGCTGAGAAAGAGGAGCAACACTCTGGGTCCAGGCGGAACTGAAGCAGTAGGGTCCACAGCTGTGATTTTCTTTAGCATCACTCACCTGTCAACTTATGAATCTCAATTTGGCCACAAGACCAAATATGAGGAATAACGGTGCTGGTTTAAGTGAAGTGTGACTACACGGCCCAGGCTAACCAGAGAAGGAAGCGAAGCCCTGTGAGGAGCACAGTGGCATGGCAACGAGCTAATCTGAGTCACTTTGTAAGCAGTCTAGGACACACAATTAAGGAACACAGTCCATCTTCCACAGAACGGATCCCTAAGAACACCAAGCTATCTTCACGGTTGGGATTTCTGGTGTCAGAGAGAAGGAAATGCAACAGACTCACCAGGCAGTCACGCTGCAGGGTCTTGCACAGAGCGTTGTACATGTCAGCATCCAAGAAGAGACCGTCAGGCATGTCCTGCAGGAAGTCCAGGTCTTTAAAGGTGGGCAGTGGCTTCTCTCGCTCCTTCTGAGAAGCTCGCCGTTTGTAGGTGGAGCCCTTGAGGTCGTACTTGATATGCATCTTGACCGACCGTGGTAAGAGATTGTTCATCACCACAATCCGAATGTTCTTGCCCCCGGCCTGCACACAGTACAATCCATAGAATTTAGGCAGCAATGTGCGAGGGTTCTGGTTGAGGTTCTGAGGACACAGAAGAAAAAGCAACAGAGCAAGTTAGTTCCCTTTCAGTGAAACTCAAGGGAAAGTTCCACACACCCCGCCTCTGTCTCCAACACAGGACTCAGGCACAGTCTGTCTGCCCAGACAACACATTTCCAATGCGGCCGTCTCAATGATGAGTGCACCACGAAGCTGACCACAGACCCTCCAGTGTGCAGCCACCGAGGACGTGAAATATAAGATAGATATGCTCAGAGGCGTTTAAGAGAAGGCAGCCATTTCCCAAGACTTTTTAGACAGAATTTTATTGTTTAAAATGCATTTATTAGTATGTTTGCAACACATAATTCCATTTCTCTTGTGGAATTGGTACATACACGTCGCATCTTGATCGTTTTTACTTTCCATCCCCTCTCCTCCTGCTCCCTCTGTCCCTAGATTCCCTTCTCCTCTCCCCAGTCTATCTCTGTTTCCTATCTCTCTTTATTTCGTTCTTTATTTATATTTGAGAGCTCTCATATTAGAGAGACCATGTGATATTTAACTTTCTGTGAATGATTTATTTCACTTAGCATTATCATCTCAAGATTCATCCATTTTCCAAAAACGGACCCAAATTTAACCTTCTTTATGGCCCAGTAGTATTCCATTGTGTCTATATACCACATTTTCTTCATTCATCTGTTGATGGGCATTTAGACCTCTTCCATAATTTAGCTATTGACTTGTGCTGCTATAAACTTGTACTGCATGTATTACTGTAAAACAATGACTCCTTTGAAATGATACCTAAAAGAATATAAGCGGGTCAAATGAAATTTCTATTTTTAGTTTTTTGAAAAAGCTTCATACTGTTTTCCATAGTAGTTATACCAATATATATTCCAAAAACGTGGAAAGGTTCCTTTTTCCTCACAACCACAACAGCATCTGTTGTTTTTTAAGTTCTTGATGATAGCCATTCTTACTGAGTACTGTGGAATCTCAAAGTTGTTTTAATTTGCATTTTTCTAACAGTCAAATATACTCAACATTTTTTTCATGTATTTATTGGTCATTTGTACTCACTTCTTCTTTTGAAAGGTGTCTATCATTTCAACTGGGTCTTCTATTCCTAACTTTTTAGGGTTCTTTATATATTCCTCTGTCTAAGGAATGGCTGGAAAAAAATCTTTCCCATTCTGTAGGTTGTTTTTTCATTCTCTTGGTTGTTTCCTTTGATGTCCATGGACTTTTGAATTTGATATAATCTCATTTTTTGATTCTTAGTATAAGCCCAGGGACTTAGCTCAGTGGCACTGCACCTGCTTGGCAAGCGCAAGGTCCTGAGTTCGAACCCCAATACCAAAAAAAAAAGGATTCTTGATATAAAGGAAGATTGTAAGAAACTACTTTGAAAATGCATATTCCAATAAATTGGACAATCTAAAAGGAATGGATAAATTCCTAGACACATATGAATTTCCAAAACTGAACCACAAAGAAAAAGAAAACCTTGAAAGAAAAAGAGAAAAAAAACAAAACCTGATGAGACCAGGAACAGGCAATAATAAAAACCCTACCAACTAAGAAAAGCATGACGGAGTCACCACAGAATTTTACCAAAACATCAGGGAAGAACTAACGCCAATATTCCTCTTCCATGAAATAGAAGGGAGAGGGGCACTGCCAAAATCATTCCTGGAAGCTGGCATTACTCTAATAGGACAAGGACTAACAACAACAAAACTACAGGTCAGTTTCCTTAACCAACGCAGATGCAAAACCCTCACCACAAGACACTTGTAAAGAGAATGTAACCATTACAACAGGCAGACGTTATAACCAGGTCAGCTTCATCCCAGGAAAGAAGGGTGATTCAACACACCAAACACTAAATCCACAAATGTAAGACACCCCATAAATGGAAGTAGAGACAAAAATCACAGGTCATCTGAATAGATGCAGAAAGAGCCTTTGACAAAATTCAACATTCATTCAAGGCTTAAAAAAAACAACAACACCCTGATGAAAATACATATAGATGGATTTTACCTCAAACTGAGAAAAGCCATTTTTGAAGAGAATCTTCCAAAAGTCTTAGCCCTCAGTCCTGGCTATAGTACAAGCAGTGATCAAAATATATAATGAAGAGCCAGGGATTTAGCTCAGTGGTTCCGGTGCCTGCCTTGCAAGTGCGAGGACCCAAATTCAATCCCCGGTACCAAAAAAAAATACAATGAATGAGGCCAGGGATTTAGCTCAGTGGTGCACTGCCTGCCTCACAAGCGCAAGGTCCTAAGTTTGATCCCCAGTACTGGAAAAAAATTTTATGTTTTATATATATATAAAACAGTAAAGAATTTCCATTAGTCTCTCTTAAAATGTTCTCCCTTGCTTCCAACACACTTATCCCATAGCTCTTGCCACTTCTGAAGCAGTTCTGAAGTCCTCATTTGTATCTTAAAAGGTATGCTCAATAATACAGTGAGTGCTGCCATTGAGTGCCTGCCAATGGAAAGACAGGCTTGTAAAAACACTGCAGTGTGTCCTCATCCACCTTAATCAGAGGGTCTGGCACCATGCATTGTCCGGCTCTTCCCCAAAGTCAAAATGATCATGAAAGGTAAACATTTTGAATCAATTCAGACCATGAAGGAAGACACAACAGCCCAATTAAAGACACTCACAAAATAGGACTTCCAGAGTTGCTTCAGAAAGTAGCAACAATGGGATATTTTTCTAAAAATAGAAATTCCATCCACCCCAGCTATTTCCCTTCTAGATATCTTCCTGAAAGTGTTAAAAACATCATAAGACACACGCATACCCATGTTTACGTAACACATAATCTCAGAAGTAGCCTATGTGTCCACCAAATGATAAATGAATAAAGAAAACAAATGTGTATAAATACACACTGGAGTACCACTCTGCCATAAAGAAGGATAAACTTGAGTCATTTATAGGAAAATGCATACACCTTGAGATTATAACGAAATAAATCAAACACGCAAGCTTAAATAGCAGGTAGTTTCTCTTATATGAGAAATCCAAAGTATAAATAAAGAGCAAAATAGAAGATGGATAAATAGGAAACTGGGAGACAGATTTTTTGCAAAAGGGAAGGGAAGCAAGAGATAGAGGGAGAAGGGAATGCAGAGAAGTGGACAAAAAAACATTTAAAAAAATTAAATTGTGTTAGGTACATGTACCAACTACCTATGAGGAATGTAATCATTATGTACTACAAACATGTACTAATAAAAATAATTTTAAAATCCAATTAAAATAATACTAACAACGAGGTCTTTTAGCAACAAGGGGGAGAATTTATGTGCCATGTACGGCGGCCCACATCTGTAATCACAACACTCAGGAGGCTGAGGCAGGAGGATCACTGTGAGGTCAAGGCCAGCCTGGGCTACATAGTGAGTTCAAGGGCAGCCTGGACTAGAAAGGGAGACCCTGTCTCAAAAAGCAAAAGAACCAAAAACACCCCAAAACAAAATAAATAAATAATAAGGGCTGATTTAGCTCAGAGCAAAGGGCCCACGTTCAATTCCCAGTAACCCCTCCCCTCAAAAAGATAGAAAACAAAACCTCTTTAACTGCAGAAATACAAAAGAAATGGGGCAAAAAGCATGTGTGCACACACGCATGCACACACACACTCAAACACAGCACTGACACTGTTTTGCCCTGCTGAAGACAGCCTCCTGCAGCCCTGTCCAGAGCAGGAAGCACTATGGCTGGTCTCCTGACCCCTTACCATGTAGTAGCCGGGGAGCAGCTTCTGCAGAAACTCTGCTTCTTTATGCTGCACAGTCTTGATGATGAACTCATCATCGCTGGACACATAGAAGAGGGAACCACTAGCTCCAGAGTTGCAGAGTTCAATCAGTGGCTCGCTGCAGAGAGAGTACTGAGGCCAAGAGGGGACAGTAAGATTCAGTCATACCAGAGCCCGCCCAGTACAGAAATCAACTACAGATGCACTTCTAAAGAAAAACCTCAGCAAGACTATGAAGAGGGAGAGCCTTCTAGGAATATCCCTCTGATACTGCAGTGACAGGGTTCTAAGATCAGCAGCTTACCAAGTAATCATCAGGCCGGATGCCAAATAGTTCCCGAAAGTAGCGGAAGGCAACAGGGGCATAGGTCTTGAACCGGAAGTCATTGTAGTGATGAGCAGGCGTCAGGTTGCTCCCCTCACTGTGGGGTTAAACAGAAGATCCTTAACTTCCCAGTCTCTCACAGGGGGAATCCACCCTGGGAAACCAGAGGGAGCCAGCACTTCCTCCTAAGAGGACAGTGGGGACAGACGAGTCCATCACTCACTGGAACAAAGACACAGGAGACCACTTTCTAGCGAGTGCATTAAATTATTTTTTTAGTGGGTCACTTCCCAGGCAGGAGGCCATGGCAGCACCTGGAGGATGGCATCTGCTCACCACACTCTCCAGTCTACATCGCCCCAATTATGAACAGCCTAAGGACTGCACACATCCTTAATTTGGTCAGACCACAAACCCACAAACCCACAAACCCTTAAGTTGCTCCAAGGTTGATTTCAAAAAGCCCATCTTCTAGGATGTTCTCCTGAACATTAGCGGAACCTTTGTACCTGGGGAAGAAGATGCTCTCCACCACATAGAAGTCCTGCATGAGGACATCTCGCTCTGGCTTGGTACTCAGACTCCCCACGGTGTGAGTAATGCCTAACTGGATGGCGCCTTTCAAAGCTGATGACGTTGTCTAAGAAAAAGAAAAGAAATGACAGGAAAGTTTCTAAATTAAGTCTGATGATAGCTATAAAAACTCAGGAGAGAGGAGTCAGAAGGAACACTTGGAAACAAATGCCCCTCCAGTAGCGCACACTAAGTTGAGACAATTCCCATGCTTCACACTGCAATTAAGCCTGGAAATATCAGGTAGGACAGGGCGAGGGATTTAGCTCAAGTGGTTCTGCTGACTGCCTCAAGCTCAAAGACCCGAGTTCAATCCTCAGTACCAAAAAACAAAACAAACAAAAAAAGATCAGGTCGGACAATGAAGATACAAAGTAATAAAGGTAGGACTGGGCCAGGGATTTAGCTCAGTGGTTCCGCCACTTGCCTCAAGCACAAGGACCCGAGTCCGATCCCCAGTACCAAAAAAAAAGGTAGGACTGAATCAGCCTTGGCTAGGCAAAACATTCCTTCCTATTGGCCTGCCAAGACAACAGCTCCCTGTCTGTATTTGGAAGATAACACTGTGTTCATCTTAAGTCTCACTTGTGAAGTTCCTGCTAGCAGAGTATCTTCCAGATATTTAATTCATCTAATGTAGAATGTAACTGAAATTGACCAATATTCTGATTTAACGATCTGGTTATAGAAGCTTTAGTCCACTAAAGAAAGGCCTGATAAGTGTTTCAAGGATAACAGACTGCCAGGGACTTAGTTCAGTGACACCGCACCTGCCTCCCAACCACAAGGTCCTGAGTTCGATCGCCAGTACAAAAAAGCAAACAAACAAACAAAATCCTCCCCTCAAAAAAGGATAACAGACTGGCAAAAAGCTCTTAACAATGAAGAAAGCATGAAAATCAAATTATTTATTTGCTTCCTTGAGACAGGATTTTACTATTTAGTACAGCTTGACCCAGAACTTGTAATCCTCCTGCCTCAGCCTCCCAAGGGCTAGGATTACAAAGATTCAAGACCAAGCCCAGCAACTTAAATTATTTTTTCTTTTTTTGTGGTACTGAAAATTAAAGCAGTAGCCTGAGGTAGGGTACCACTTCTTCCTATATTCAAAGCCAGGGCGTATGAGGATATAACTCCACTCTCAGGGAGAGTCACAATAATGGGCCACAGTTACCTAAGAATGACCTAACATACTCAACCATCCAGGCACTGTATGGTCTAGGCTGTGCAGCAGGTGTTTTGTTTCTCCATGTCCTGCTAGGCACATAAGACACTATAACTCCTATGCTAGAAAACACTGTGCCCTTTTAGTAGCTGCGTATGCTATGTATCTGTTCTGCTGAAGGAATAGAGAGAGGCAGAGCTATGGAGCTCTGGAGCTGCAGATGAGCAGCTCTGCTGGCCTCTGATGCTGCGCTGATTTTCTGACTGCTCTGCGCCTTGTTCTTTAATGGGGATTAATTAACTCACTCACAAAGGGCCATAAGGACTAAACTGGCCCCTCTCCAGGTATCTCCCGGGGAGGCTCGCCCTTGCCTTCACACCTTCACAGTGAGCTACAACCCCAGGCCTTCTTTATTGATCTTCGTTTTTATTTTGAGACAGGGTTTCAGTCACCACATTGTCCAGGTGGGACTGAAACTTGCAATGTTCCTGCCTAAACCTCCCAGAAGGCTGGGATTACAGCATGTGTCATCACACTGGGCTCAACTCAAATTATTTCTGAGAAAAATATTCAAGAATTAGATAGGGCCAGAGATTTAGCTCAGTGGCGCCCCACCTGCCTCAAAAATGCAAGGTCCTGAGTTCGATTCCTGATACTGGGAAAGAAAAAAAGAATTAGAATTTAATTCAAGATTTAGAATCCCACATGCCTGTAATCCCAGCTCTTGGGATGCTGGGGCAGGAGGATCACTGAGAGGTCCAGGCCAGCCTGGATTATACAGTGAGTTCAAGGCCTACCTGAACTACAGAGCAAGACCTTGTTTCACAAAAGAAAACAAAACAAAAAAAAGAATTAGAATTTTCATAATATAGTAAAACACAAATACAAAACTTCTAACACTCTACGATTTTGATCCTATGGGAAAATATCACATCATACAGATCTATATCTAATAAAATACTCACACGTGGACATTCAAAATTAAGTTAATTAAAATTAAATAAAGGGCCGAGGGTTTAGCTCAGTGGTTCTGTCAACTGCCTCACAAGAGCAAGGACCTGAATTCAATCCCCAGTACCAAAAAAATTTTTAAAAATAATAAAAAATTAAATTAAATAAAACTTCACTTTCTCAATCTTAAAAGTTACAGCTAAAATGTGGGTAGTAGCCACCACACTGGATAACACACACACACACATATATATACAGCACATTTCAATCACTACAGAAAATTTATTGGGTAGCTTTCCTCTAAATTATCTCCCTAGCTGGGTGTGATGGTGCACACCTGTAATCCTAGCCCTTGGGAGGCTGAGGCAGGACTGCTGTGAGTTCGAGGCCAGCCTGGGCTACATAGTGAGCTGAAGGCCAACCTGAAGTACAGAGTTAGACCTTGTCTCAAAAAAAAAATTATTTCCCTCATCCTTCCCCACACCAGATATTACTTATATTCCACTTAATCCTCAGTGGGCATTAAAATTACAGCTAGTGTTTAAGGTTCTGCCTATAAACTCATCTTTTTATCCTCAATGTCCCACACATAAAAAGAGCTCAACAGAGTCAAGCAGGGCGGCACACAGGTGTAATCCCAGCACTCAGGAGGCCAAAGTAGGAAGACTGCAAGTTTGAAGGCAGCCTGAGCTACATAGCAAATTCAAGACTGGCCAGCCTGCCTGGACTACACAGTAAAACCCACTCTCGACAAAATCATGAAAAAAAAAGAGCTCAGTAAACATGTGCTGAACTGACATGGGGCTCAGAGGCCACTCCAGAGACAGATAGGTACCTGACTGAGAATATGAGTCAGCTCACTTCTGCTACTTAACACAACAAATAAAGGCAGAAAACAGAAAAAATTTATATGGGTCAGAATTAGGAATCCAAGAAATCTTCATGCCAAAAAAAAGAAATCTTCAAGCCTTGTATCAGATAAGATACAGATGCTTAAACAGTGCCCTTTAGGAAGCCTGAGCCTCTACAAATTAGTTCAGAACTGGGGGGCTGGAGGGGGATATTTGAAGACAATGATGACAATGACAAGACGAACAAAACAAAAAAATAAACCCATGTGCTGCCTATCTGTGTTTTACCAGGCTGGGACATGCCCTTCACTTCATGAATACCCGACAACAGAGGAAAAACAAAAAGTCTTCAAGAAACCTGTCTCCCTGTGGCAAAGAAAGCATGCCCTTTAGGGCCTAGTTACATGCTTATACCTAACAGTGAAACCCAAGCACTCTCTCTACCTCAGAGAAACAGCAATGCTAGATTTGTTCATGAAGAACATTCTCATTTAGGAATGGGGATGTAGCCCAGTGGTAGAGCACCTGCCTAGCACACAGACCTTGGGTTTGCTCCCAAGCACCAGAAAGAAAAAAGAAGAGAGGGGAGGAGAGGGAGGGGAGACAATAGCCAACTGCAGTTGCACAGGCCTGTAATCCTAATGCTCAGGAACCTAAAGGAGGAGGATGCTGAGTTTGAAGCCAGGCTGAGCCATACAGTGAGTTTAGGGAGGGCCAGCCTGGACTGTACCATGAGACCTTATCTCAAAAAACAAAAATGAAGAACATTCCCATTTAAACAATATTCCAATAGAAAACATCACCCTTTGTGAAATAAATTCTAAACTCCAAGTTGTATGATGGCTAACGTCCAAATGCTCTGATATCAAGAAACAGGATACTGTGTGAAGAGAACAGTTTCAAGGGGACCATGTTGCCCCTACTGAGTTTTCAAAGTAAGATGAGAGGGTTCCATCCAGACTCACCTTTTTATATGTTGTCTCTCCTGAAGAATCAACACTTCGGTGGCCTATTTTCTTGATAGTCATGCCAGTGGCATAAGACACCTAGAAGAGAAGAGTCTAGATCGGTCTATGATTCCCATGTAATACAAGTTATACTGTAGTGATGATACATCAAAAAAGCCACAATGTTAGCTGTGGGGCTAAAGCAGGAGGACTGCAAATTTGAGGCCAGCTCAGGCAACTTAGACATCCTGTCTCAAAATAAAAACAGAAACTGGGAGCAGGGACTTAGCTCAGTGGTACCACTTGCTTGCCTGGCAAGCGCAAGGTCTTGAGTTCAATTGGGCAGGGTGCGGGGGTGCAAAAAACTGGTCTACGGATGTAGCTCAGTGCAAAAGTCCTGGTTTAATGCCCAGTAGTGAAAGAAAAGAAAGAACCCAACACATCCTTTCCTTTTTTTTTTTTTGGTACTGGGGATTGAACTTGGGACCTTGTGCTTTCGAGGCAGGCGCCGGAACCACTGAGCTAAATCCCCAGCCCTACACATCCTTTCTTGATTAGGAACATTTTATAAAATCTTCATAAGGCCCACCTCACGCTAATGCACAAGTATCATGTTTATTGCATTTATTTACTGAGACAGGGTTTCACTCACTCCCTTGTCTAGGTGAGCCTCAAACTCCAGCCTCAGTCAGCTGGGTAGCTGGACTTTATGCACCCACCCCTACCCCTACCTTCCCTTTTGTCACCAGCTTCCTTTCAGAAATAACTACTCTAATCCCCTACCCAATCTCAATACTATTTGCTCAAACTGAATTCACCAGTGGAAACAATCTGTCCCCTTGCAAACTGAATAAGTCTCTAGACTAGTGGTGGAAAACCTATGGCACCACATCGGGCACACAGAGTGTATGAGGTTTTTTTTGGTTGGTTTTTTTTTTCAAAACTAAAACCTCAGTATTCAGGCTTAATTGCAGTGCTGGCACTTTACAATAAATAAGTGGGATTTGGGTTGCAGTTTGGGCACTCAGTCTCTAAAACGTCTGGCATCACTGCTCTAGACCTAGAATTAAAAGGCTGAGGTGACAAGATGACTTTTCTAAGAGGTCTCAATGGGTTCTTGAGGGTTCCTGAGAACATGATAGAGTTCTGTTTCCTACTCACATTAACAGCCCCTAAAATAAGAGAGAAAGAAGACCAGCAGAGTAGAGTCTATAGGTCCAGGAATGAAGATGCCAGCTCAACAGACATTAAAATATTCTTTTTTTTTCTCCTAAAAGGCAGTGTCCTGCTTTGTAGAGTCCAGGTTAGTCTCAAACTCATGATCCTCCTGCTTCAGCCTCCCAAGCGCTGGAATTACAAGTGTGTACCACCACACCCAGCATGAAATACTCTTCAAGTAACACTGACTCAGTTAATAAACCAAAAGGCACAGGCTAATGGAATCAAGATGTCACAATTCTAAAACCTGATATTCAAGATCTACAGCTTGCCAAGGCCTTTAGTACTAGATAACCCATAATATATCACCTGACAGATCTCAGAACGTATTTTGATTTTTTTTTTTTTTTTGTACTAGGTATCAAACTTAGGTCCTTGTGCTTGTGTGGCAGGCAATGAAACCAATGAGCTAAATCCCCAGTCCTCGGAACATATTTTGATGGAAAAGTCTAAAGTCCTAGGCCAAAGAGTGGCATTCTGAGGCCCCTGACACAAAATGGAAGAAGCAGCAAGAAGCATGAAGGCTGGGAAATACTCCATAGGGAGAAAGTTTACCAAACTGAAGATACTCTGCATGCAAAAGAGAAACTTGGGGGCCGGGGATTTAGCTCAGTAGTTCTACCACCTGCCTCGAAAGCACAAGGACCCGAGTTCGATCCCTGGTACCAAAAAAAAAAAGAGAAATTTCGGAAATAGGTTCCCTGTATTAAAAGAAGTTCTTATATATTGAAAGTATGCAAACAGAAAAGAGTTAACAGCAAAATGAAAAAGTACAACTTTAGTGTCAGACTGTCTGGGTTGAATCCCAGTTTTACGAATCCCACTTACTAATTGTGTAACCTTAGGCAAGTTACAGAATCTCTAATCCTCACCTTCCTTATCTGTAACACAGGGTTAACAAAGGTACTTATCTCCTTGGAGCTATTTGCAAGGTTAAAATAATACTGTATCTGCCCAGCTTGGTCGGGGCATGCCTGTAAGCTCAGTACTAGCGAGGCTGAGGCAGGAGGATCACCAGAGTTCAAGGACATCCTGGGCTACATAGTAAGACCCTGTTTCAAAAAAAAACCCCCCAAACAGGCTGGGGATTTAGCTCAGTGGTTCCACCTGCCCTGCAAGTGCAAGGATGCAGTTCCATCCCCATACCAAAAAACCCCACAAAAAACCAACCAATCAATAAATAAATATCAATACTGTATCTAAGCCAGATCTGGTGGCACACACCTGTAACCCAAGCACTCTCAGAGAATGAGGAAAGGGGATGCCAAATTGAGGCCCACACTGGGCAACTTAGCAACTTGGGGAGACCCTGACTCAAAATGAAAATAGGACTGGAGGGGTGGGGATTTAGCTCAGTGGTTCCACCACCTGCCTCACAAGCGCAAGGTCCTGAGTTTGATCCCCGGTACCAAAAAAAAAGGTCTGGGGATATAGTATAGCTTGGTGAAAAGGCCCCGGGTTCAACCCCCAGTACCACCACACACACACACACGCACACACACACACACACACACACACACACACACACACACACACACACACACACACACACACACACGCATGCAAATAAAAGTTCAATGGCCAGGCAAGGAAGTACATGTCTAATTCCAGCTACCTGGGAGAAGTGAAGAAATCAAAAATTCAAGGTCAGCCTAGGCAATTTAGCAAAACCGTATCTCAAACAATAAGAAGTATTGGGTTTGCAGCTCAGTGGTAAAGTGGTGCAATCCCCAGGAAGGGAAGGAGAGAGGGAAGTGCCAGGGAGGGAATGGGAGAGAGGAAAGGCAGGCAGACAGGCTCACCAAATGTGAGATGTTGCTAATATTCAAAAGAAAATACAATAAAAGCAGAGTTTTATAATATCTCGCCTATCAAACAGAAATAAAAACCTTGTCAGCGAAAGTTGCAGCTCAGTGATAAAATCCTTGCCTATTATGGACAAGGTTGTGGATGCAACACCCAGCACTGCAAAATAGGGGAAGGAAAAATTAAAAAGAGCCCTGCCCAGCTTCCAAGTCCTAAGCATAAAGAAATTAAAGATTTCAGAGATACCCTGGTATCCCTGGACTAAAGTTGTAGTATCACTATGAAACTCACCTCCGATGCCACAGGTCTCTTGATTCCAGATGCTGCTGCTAAAATTTAAAAAAAAAGAGTCACTTAAATATGTAACACTCACTCATATAATCTCCATCGACACACTGAAGCAAGGTGTGGCAGCACACACCTGCAGTCTGAGCACTGAGACTGCAGCAGGCCTGAACTACACTGAGAACAAGCTCCTGCCTCTTACTCAGTGACACCAGATCCCCTTGGATCCTGCTTTTTTAATGTCCCTTCCTCCTTCTCCTACATACTCAAAGGCCTTACCCATATGCCATTGTTGTTACACCTTCTTTCTTACTCAGATGTTCATATTTTCTATGGGAAAGACAACTGTTCTTAATATTTGGGCATGAAAGGGTCTCACTAATACCGTGGTCAAAAGAGAAAGGGAATAAGAGATACCCAAGACTCACCACTAGAGACCCTAGGCTAGACAATTTTTTTAAGGGCTAAAAGGGTAAGAATTTTTAGACTATCTGTGGTAATTCAGAAGATAAGAATTGACCTGTGAAAATAAAGAAGCTAAGCATGAGAAACAATGTTAAAAAAAAAAAAAAGCACTCATAGCAAGCAGAAACTGTTTTTGTCCCTACATCCTCCACCTGATTTCTGCTATAAACAGTAGAGATCTGTTAGTATTTAAAATTCATTTATGGGGCTGGGGATTTAGTTCAGTGGTTCCACCACCTGCCTCACAAGCACAAGGAGTTTGATCCCCAGTAACAAAAAAAATTAAAATAAAATAAAATAAAATTCGTTTATTAGGAATTGGAGCTAGGCACAGTGGGGCATGCTTGTAACGCCAGCACTTGGTAGGCTGAGACAAGAGGACTGCCACAAATTAGAGGTCAGCCTGGCATACACAGCAAGATCCTGCCTCAAAATAATTAATTAAAAGTCAAAGGTAATAAACATTAATCACATTAAAAAAATTAAAGGATCGGGGATGTAGCTCAGTGGCCTGTCAAGGCAAGGTCCTGAGTTTAATCCCCAGAACAGGAAAAAAAACAAAGAAATTAAAGGGCCGGGGATTTAGCTCAATGGTACCATGCCTGCCTGGCAAGGGCAAAGTCCCAAGTACCAAAAAAAAAAATTAGAGTCACCACAATGGATTAGACCTTTCCTTCAGTATACTGTAGACAGTTTTAATTTCTTTTCTCAAAAAACAAGAGAAACATCATCTAGCTGTTCAAAAGATATCTCATGTAGTTGTCAGAAAAATAGAAAAACAGACCAATTTTTACTGCTGCTTCCCTCCAGCACAGCCCAATAATCTAACACCACAGCCCAAAAATCTAACACCTCTTCTAGAAGGATACATCTTTCAATCAGGTTGACTTCAGCTGGGTGAAAGACTAAGTTAGGAATGAAATTCTAAGCTAAAGCTTCCAAGGAACAAGAAACCATGACAACAAGATTCATGAGCAAAACTTCTGATGACTTACGAATGATTTCAAAGCGCCTATCATCAAAGTCAAAAACTTTCACATCTTGTAACCTTTCAACTGAGAGTCAAATTGCCAAACTACTGAGAAAACAAGATAATCTGACAAGCTGGCAGAGGCCTATAATCCCAGCACTCAGGAGCCTGAGGCAGGATTCATGAGGGCAAAGTTGGCCTAACTATATAGCAAGACCCTATCTCAAAAAATAAAAAATCAGAAAAAAAAAATTAAAAAACAGAAGACCTAGATCGCAAATCATTCTTTGTGTTTTACTAAAAAGGAGAATTCTTTTAGAAGGCTTATGTAATAATTAGGCCCGGCATGGTGGTGCACACCTATAAGCCCAGCATGGGCTACATAGTGAGATCCTGTCTTTTCAAAAGCCTAAAAACAAAACAAAACAAAAAGATTAAATGAGATAGCCTGGTGCAAGGACAAGAGACTACAATCTCAACTACTGGCAAGGGTGAGCCCAGGAGGTCAACATAGGGAGACCCTGAGACCCCAAAATAAAAAGCTCCATTCATCTAAGACCAGAGTTTTCTTTTTGGTGTAAGACTTGCTCTGATTAAAAGTACAGTACAGGGCCGGGGATTTAGCTCAGTGGTTCCGCCACCTGCCTCACAAGCAGAAGGACCCGAGTTCGATCCCCAGTACCAAAAAAAAAAAAAAAAAAGTACAGTACAAGGCTTGTCATTAATGCATTCCCAGTGGACAAAAAAAAAAAAGAACACTTCTGACAAACAAGTTTGTTTCGTTTTAGGCATCTTGGAATTGACAATTATTTATCACTCCTTGGGGCAAAAGTACACATTAACTTCTAAAACAGTTCTGGGAAAATGATCATAATTCTACATGCTAGGCACAGAAGAGCTCAGACTTTTGTTGCTTTTTAGGAAAGCTAAGGGTCAGAAAGAGAAGTTCTCTTCTAATACTACTCTCCTTCACCACAAATGTCAGGTTTAGTTAGATAGAACCCATTCAGCAATAAACATTTAGTCTGGTTTAAAGGCAAGTTAGTGGTGGGGAAACAGCTCAGAGGCAGAGTGAGTGTCTAATGTGCTCAAGGCCCTACACCATCACCCAGAGCGCCCTGGTGCAGGCGCGCACGCGCACACACACACAAAAAAGCAGTGTAAAGTCAAGTTAGTTCACACACAGGTTTCAGATAAGAACAGGTAGGGCTGAGGACGTAGCCAAGTACGATGATTCTTGCCTACAATGTGCAAGGTAGGACCCCATCTCTGTAAAAACAAAACAGATCAGCAGAGAACAAATAGCGTAATGGGTAGCAATGTGGGCTGTGTAACCTGAACACCAGCCTTACTAGGTCTGAATCTAGTAATTACTAACTAGGAAGTCTTGGTCAGGTAGGTTAAAACATCCCCAGGCCTTGTTTACTTTATAAAATACAGAAATGGGGTAGAGCAGTAGCTCAGGGATAACAGTGCTTGCCTGAAAGCCCTGGGTTCAGGTGGGGGTGGGAGGTTGGGGGATTAAATGAGAGTAAGCTACAGATTTAACATACGGTACACAAAATACTACCAATCATTATTATTTTTTTTTGGTACCAGGGATTGAACTTGGGACCTTGCACTTGCAAGGCAGGTGCCAGAACCACTGAGCTAAACCCCCGGCCCCAATACTACCAATTATTATCATCATTGTGAATTATGAAACCCCAACTACAGGACATCAAAAGTCAGCAAATGATGTGCAACACAAAGGGAAAGGAAGAGAGCAGAGACTTGTTTACTGAAATGAAAAAACTGTGGGAAAAGTTAGTTTTGTATTGTTGTTGCTCTTTTTGTTTTTCTGGTACTGGAGATTGAACCCAAGGTCTTCAGCACTGAGCTACATTCTCAGCCCTTTTCATTTTGAGACAGGGTCTCACTAAATTGGCAAGGCTGTGCTCAAACTTGTGATTCTGTCTCAGCCTCCCAGAATGCTGAGATGATACGCACACACCACCATACCTGGCTGAGAAGAGTTCTATGCTAAGATAGCATCCTATTTGGATATGGCAGCTACAGTCAAATGATGCTTAGAAAGTAAATATTTACTATGTTTTTCTATTTATCCTACGTTCAACAATTTTGTATTTCAATAAAATGTTCTAAATATTGCAAAAAAAGAAAAAAAAAAGAAAAAGAAATGCTTGCAAGAAATCAACAACCTTCTCAAAGGAAGACCACATACTAGTGCTAGAAAAAGTGTGCAGCTGTTAATGGGGAGGAGCAGAGGGCTGCAAGTCACTTCAAGGAGCTCAAGCTTTTCAGCAGATACACATCAGATCTACCTCTCTTACGGTTCACCCCACAGCACAGAAAGCTGAAACCTAATGAGGAAAAACAAATAATTATCATTTACTTCTGGGATTCTATCTGCTTACAGCAAATAAGGATTTTTTTAAAAAAACTAAAGTTTAAAATTATGAACAGGATGTAACTCACCAGTACTACAATATGAACTGTGGAATTATTTGTAGAGATTCAAGGAAAATCCCCCAAAAAAGACAGAAATAAGGGCCGGGGATTTAGCTCAGTGGCATCGTGCCTGCTTCGAACGCCCAAGGTCCTGAGTTCGATCCCCAGTACCAAAACAAAACAACAACGATAAAAAAGACAGAAGTAACAACTTTGACACAAAAATTCCAGAAGAGAACACAAAATGTGTATCCTAAACCATTTCACTCTTTTTTTTTTTTTGGTACTGGGGATTGAACTCGGGTCCTTGTGCTTGCAGGGCAGGCATCGGAACCACTGAGCTAAATCCCCAGCCCTATTTCACTCTTTTTTATGCGACAGGTCTTACCACGTAGTGCAGGCTGACTCAACTCACCGGGTGGTCTACACTGGCCTCAAACTCACCATCATCCTGCTTCACCCTCCAGACTGCTAGGGTTACAGGCATGGGCCACCATGACTGGTTTTTCAGTTCCATCTTGACACAGGGTCTTGCTATGTAGTCTAAACTGGCCTTGAACTCACAGCATTCCTCCTGCCTCAGCCTCTGGAATGCTGGGATTACAGGCGTGCACCACCATGCTCAGCTTTTTTTTTGTTTTTGAGACTGGATCTCTCTGTGTAGTTCAGGCTGCCCTCAAACTTGAGATGATCCTCCTGCCTCAGCCTTCGGAGTGCTGGGATTACAGGGGTCCACCACCTCACTACATTCACTCTTGAGTGATTTCATATTGACAAATTTTGCCAGGTGTAGGGGTGCACCCCTGTAATCCCAGCACTCCAAAGGCTGAGGCAGGAGGATCACCGCAACACACACACACAGTGAGAATCTATCTCAAAAGAAGGCAAACTTTTTTCTGGCTTAAGGTTTCTCTGTATGCAGGCTTTGATCTAGACATGTATATACAAGAACGTTTACCGTGGCACTGTATACAGTAACTATAAATGTGTGCCAAGAACTTAAAAGGAGATTGGTGATATAAATCACAATGAAATTTAAATGAATATTATATAGTCATTATTTTTAATGTGTATTTATGCATAAGATATTACAATAAATTGTTAAGAAAAAATTTTAAATATATATATATCATCTTTTTTCTCCTGGTGCTGGGAATC